TTAGTTTGATCATAACGAAATTGCAGCTATACAGTTTTATTTATTAAGTGAAAAATCTATCAAGTAATTTATTAGAGTGACGTGTCTTTTAAAATCTCTTAAGACTAAAATCTGTGAAAACAAAGCGAAAAAACCTTATAAATCTGGTATAAAGAATTAATTTTTCTACGCGACCCTTAAAATATCTCTTAAAATGAGACAAATCATTTCACTTAACTTGTGATTTCACAAAGTTAATCAATAAATTCTAAAGACTGCGTTGAAATAAAATTTATTGGAACAGTGTGCAAATTGCAGCAATACTACATTATTATTTAAGCATTATATTTCAGATTTCAAGTTGCAATTGTTGAATTACATAGGAATATAGTATTACCGAAATTTTTAATTAGTGGTAGTTTTGAATTCCAATACGCTCGTATTATAAAAAAATACATAATTTTATAAATGAGATCACATAGAACAGTAAATTGAATACGTATAATTAGCAAAACAGTCTTATAATATAAACCGAACTGAAAAATGCTTAAATTACTTCAAACTCATGTCTTTTGTAAAAAATAATAAATTATTAAGCATTTAAGCAATTGGCATAATTAAAAAATTTATAAATTAGTTTTTATTTCTGTAAAACAGAATTTCTGCAAAAACAAAGAAGATCTCATCGACGTCTTACCAACATTATAATATCATTTTCTTGGGTCCAATTCGGCATTTAAGACATAATTGCACTTTTTATTCACATTATTCAAAATTTACATTTGGTAACCCTCTACGTATTATTGTAATATTGGATTATGACGATATAACAAAAGTAAAAATCTTATTTTATGCGTACACACTTATGTACATATATTATGTTAATGTATATAATATGTACATAATATTATAATAAAGATTTACTTATAAAAAATTTAACAGCAAAATCTTGTTATTTCTAATCTTAAAAATGTTTTAACATAATACAAAAGAAAGAAGAATAGAAAACGAAAAATTGAATTTAAATCCAATAAGAGAGGAAGTAATTCATTTACATTTTAAAACGATTTTAAAATGAAAAACAAAAAACAAAAAAAAAAAAACAGCGAAATAAAAAAGAAATCTTTGACATGGGGCTAGTCTTTTCCATTTCTATTTTTTTTTTCCCATTTTCTTTTATTTTTGTTTTTGTTTTTTTTTTTTTTTTTGAATTCTAAAATGACAATATAGAAATTTATAATGGCATGCAAATGTGATATCTATTTATTATGTTAGTGATACTTTCAATTTTAATTGATCTACTGGAATTTTTTTGTTTTTCTTTTAGAATAATACCAACTTTTCCGGTCAATATCGAATACGTGCACCAATAGTGAATTGGTAAAATCTAAAAAGAATTTTATATATGCGTGTGCATATTGCCGCAATCGCTGAATTGAATATTATCGAAATAAAGAATCTAAAACGAATTGGTAATAATGTCGCGATGGTTATACACAATTCCAGTTGGGTTGTTATTATTAAAAAGAAAGTTATAAATATGTAAATTAAATTTGAATTTTTTTTTTCTTTTTAATCATTACTTAATATTCAATATTAATGTACGATTTTTTTTTCCTTCTTTTAATTCCTTTCTTATTTGGTACGGATTTGTAAAGTTAAAATGTCAATACTTAATAGAATATCAGCTATTCTTACTTTCAGAGAATTGAAAACATATTGGAAACAAAAGGGTTTTAAAAATACTAAAAGAGAAAAAAATTGAAAAAAAAAATTGTTTTAATTAAAAATCAAAACTCGTAGAATATTAGATTTTTTTTTCTTGATTGAATTCTTTTTACGTTTTTCTTGTGTTTTTTTGGTATTCGTTTAAATTCAAAGTATTACGTGGGTGATTATGTCATACAAAATCATTAATAAAATGCACAATCTACCACCAGTATACTTATGTTTCTATAAGTATATAACGTATTGGTTTTAAGGAAGTCAATAGCTATAAAATTTTTATATTACTTTCCTTTTTGAAAGGGTCAAAGGTATAATGTTAAAGAAACAATGATAAAATTACCTTTAAGAACAATTTTTAATAGCTTTTATGTTTCTTTATTTAACATGATTTTTTTTAAGGTTTATTTAATTGTTTTTACATTTAGCACAATAGCTACCGTATACGTATACTTTACACATATTATATTTAAATGTATGTTATATAATTTAGGTATATTTAGAGATATAGAATACGCGTACCGATTAATACATAAACATACATTAGTATATGGGATTATATGAAATGATCAAACGGTAGGCTATTATGGCGCCTTCTATTGTAAATTATACATTGTCTATAAAAGATATAGTATTTTCTACAGCATAACGTAGTTGCGACCACAGGAAAAACTTTTGCGACAATAGTTATTGTTAATTTTCAAAATGAGACAATACGACAACATTTACAATAATAATTATCCAAATTGTTGGTGATAATTTTTAATTGCAATTTTAGTCTGAGAACAATTTGCAAATTCAGTAGACGAAAAAACACAAACATGCCACAAAAAAAAAGCCTTAAGCCTTAACTAAGTCAATTGCCAGTTTAATGTAAGTATAAGAGATCTTAAAATTTTTAAAGCGATTAAACGAAAATTTTTATAAATTATTTTGAAATTACTCCTAATTTTAGGCACAATCTATTATAAGTAATTAATATAATAATGATTTTCAATATTTACACGCAGTAAATTGGTACACTATATTAGCTTTCTCATTATTTTCAATCAGCTTTTAACAATTTTCCTTATAATTATGGAAATTTAGAAATCCTTATATAAATTATGGTAATATTTTAAATTGTTAAACTAATTATGATTTAATTTTTAATAAATTTTACAAATAAGACAATTTTTGGTAAAAAATTCAATAAAAAAATATTTATGCACCATGAAATTGTGTCTATACTAAAAATATTGTGTGCAAGAAGAAAATCATCCCTTGAACAGCAATGCAAAGGAACATTTTATTCTTAAAAAATGAAAAAAATTTAAAATTCAAGTCTCAAGTGTAAAATAATTTTTACGATTATAAAAATGCCAATATGAAAAATTTTCCTATTTAAAAAAAAAACAAAAAGGGAGAAAAAAATAAAATTAAGATTAATTGCTCTATAGAGAATTAGAAAATTGCAAGGTAGATGAAAAAGCTTAAATCAAGTAAAAAAAAAAAAATTAAAAAGATATTGAAATCATATTTTCAAAATAATTCTCAAGGGGGTGGTAAAATATTACTTTGATTTAACAATGGTAAAAGAAAAGAAATTTTGCAATTGAATAAAAATAAATTGATAAAGAAAATCAAAAAAAAATTTTAATGATATTTCAATTAAATAGAGAAATCTGAAATGCATAAACAATAATTTTATTTGAGATATTTGTTCAAGTGTACGGGTATTAAAATTTATAATGTCATTTTAATATAATTTTAAATTAATATTCTATATTTCGATGATAATATCCGAAATGATTTACTTATATATTTACCTTGAAAAATTGCAATATCACCGCAATACGGTAGACAATATACAATATTAACAAAAGGGCTACAGATTCTGTAACTTTTGAAACCTATTTTAACAAGATGACTAAAGACCGAAAATATTTTGGCAATCTTTTCACAAACATATTAAAGAATGGGCCCTTGAAATCTAGATCTAAGGGAAAATTAAATGTTAAAGCCAAATAAAATGATTTAAAATAATCTAATATTTGATATCTCCAATATTACCTACATATTATACTTGCTACATTACGGTACAAACATGTTTCTTATATACTTTGGACAAGTTATAGCAAAAACATGTAATTTTTCATATCTTGTCAATGAACTTTCAGATTTCTAACGTTAAATGTTTATAAATACAAAAGTGTTCACTGAGTTATCAAGTGAGATGCTAACTACTTATGTGAATACAACTTTCCAAAAACAATTTTTACAATCTGTATTGTATTCCACTTAAAGTCATCACTATACGATACAAACGGTTTAATTTAATAGCCATCTGTATTCACTTGTAAATTATTTTGTTCAAATATCGTTTTAACATTTTCACAATACATTTTCACTTATACAATAGTATGGCATTGTTTAAAAATGCCAATAGAAATTTAATGTTTATTTTATTTTCGTTTTATTTTTTCTCAATTATTATTAGTCAATTTCAATTCATAGACGACCTACAACCCGTATTCGTCAATCAATTTTCTTAAAAAAAAAAAAATAAAAGGAAAACCAATATAAAAAATTTCTAAAAATATAAAAATTTTATTTCAAAAAAAAAAAAAAAATTTCCATTATTTTTAAATTCACGATTTTCTTTCAAAATAAAAATGTTATTTTTACAATCAGAGAAAACCACAAAAAATTGAACAACAAAAAAACAACATAAAAAATGAAAACCTCAAAAATTCGATATGTAATTTTATTTTTTTCTTTTCGAAATTCAATTGAATCCAATCATTCAAAATGGATTTTATTTGCTTTGACACAGAATCAGTTATACCTAGTTAATTTCTCAACAGACAAAATACACATTTTATCAAACCCTATTATTCACGACGTTTTAACCTTAAGTATATAAGCTTGTAAAGACTCTTACAATCGAACAGAGTTCATATTGTACTTTAATACTTTCGTACTATAGATATTAATTTAATTTTGCTGTTTTCTCATTTACAAAAACCAAAATCAACTCAATCAATCAAAAAACCTCTGAAAAAGAAAAACACATCGTCCAAATCATACAGGCATACTCGAAATATACTCTAAAAAAAAAAACAGAAATAAAAATGTTCAACACTATAATTACATGGGTATTTTTCATGTAATTTCGAAAAAAAAAATTACAACCTCAATAACCAGAAATCTAAATGATAAAACTAAAGTCATATAACCATAAAATAGAACAAAAATATAAAAAAGAAATTAAAAAACGATTTGAAATCAAAAAAATTGTGGTTAAAATAACTTACCTGTTACTATCAATTCTATTGGTACCAACATTGTTATTATTATTATTGGTAGTACCACCATATTGGTTACTATCATTTCCAATAACATCATTAATAATTTCAATATTATTTGCAAGATCACTATTGTTATAATGTTGTTGCTGTTGTTGTTGTTGATAATGATGATGATGATGATGATGAATTTGATTTAAATTATCATATGATCTACCATGAAAATAATTTGCTGTAATATTACCAATACCAATTCCCATACCGTTACCACCACCACCATCACCCCTTCTAATACCTAAATTTGTATTAGGATTTGTTGTATTAGGAATTGTATCAAAATATATTGCTGTATATTGTGGTGGATGATAGCGATTGTCATAGAAATTTGATAGATTTGTATTTGATTTCATTATTTTTGATGACGTAAATGATTTTCTTTGATTTGATATTCCTGTTGATGTTGTTGTTGTTGTTTGTTCTGTTGTTATTGCAAGACCATTTGTATTTGTTCCGGTCATTGTAATATTAGATTGTTCAATAATACGTTTATTATTACCATTTACAAGACTTATATGAGATTCAAATGAACATATACTTGAATTCAATAAATCAATTTGATTAATACTATTATTAATATTATTATTATTATTAGTTATAGTATAACTATTATTAACTAATATATCATTATTTCTAATATCATTATCATTATTATTATTAGATTGATTAATTTTATTATCATTTTCAATAATTTTTTTATTTAATTTATAATTATTTTGATCTGTTAGTAAGGTACTTAACTCTGTTGTTGTTGTTACATTGGAACTATTTAAATTTGTTATACATGAAGTAGTTGAACAATTATTTTTATTAATATCATTAGTATTGGTAATTTTAGGAATATCATTATTATTAATATTTGGTATTAGATTTGTACTTGTATTGCATGATTTTTTTTCAACAATATTTTTAATATCATTATCTTTTTGTTGCAAGTTTTGTGGTATTTCTACGGAAGTATTTGTTGAGGATATTATTGAAGAATTATTTATTATAACATTATTATTTTTTAATTTCATTAAATTACTATTACTATTACCAATATTGCTTCTATTAAAATTATTTTCAATTAAATTATTATTAATTATTAAAGAATCACAGGAAATAGTATCTAAAATTGTACCATTTTCAAAAACTAACATTTCATCATTCATATTATCCTTATTGTTACTGGTATTGCTTATTGCGGTGTCAGTAGTTGTTGAAGTCATTGTTATTTCACTTGTTTTGTTCAAGTAACAGGTGGTGATTGCGTTATTTTACAAAATTATTGCAAAAATTAAAACATAAACAAAAAATTTACAATAAAACTTAAACTAAATGGTATTTTTTTTTGAATTTCGTTGTTGTGCATTAATGTCATATCACTTCCTGTTTAATTCTAAAAAATTTTAAATATTAATTTTTCCTATTATGCTTTTTTATTGCGTTATTCCAAAGTAAAATCACTTAAATATTTAATTTTTTATGGAAATTTTTTGAACCCATTGATTAATTTATTATTTACAAAATTCAATAATATTTTTATTTACTTTAAATTTTAATTAATAAAAAAATATTTACATTGTAAAATTTTCAAATAATTACAATTGAATTGATAACTAACGACAATTATTATCAAAATTAAAGAAAAAAAAAAAAAAAAGGAAATTATTTACGATCAAGGCGCCGACGTAAATCAAAAAAGAAAGATTTTTGTGTGTATCTAACGCAACACGAGTGCCGCCAAAAACTAATTTCAATTTTGTTTACTAACTACGATTTGACCTAACAAAAATTATTTGAGAACGCTCTTAGGTTTTTTCTTTTTACTCACAACACAACAACAACAACAGCATAAAACAGAAAAAGCAATAACAAACAACATAAAATATTGAAAAGGGAAAAATTGTTATGCCTTTGAGACGAAAGAAAATACAAAAATGAGAAGACAAAAAAAGAAAAAAAATATGATAAAAACCTAAAAATATAGTCCTATTCTATGTATATATAAGAAAACGACACATAGCTACACATAAATTTGATGTAAATAGCAATAAAATACCCAGGCAACAAAAAGATAAATAATTTCTCAGATTGATGAATATCAAACAAAATTTATACAAACTGTGGTAAGAGGGCCTTTTTTATTGATTAGTTGACACTGTTTTAATAAGATTCACATTTCTTGCAAATTTTTGACTGTTTATTTCATTTGAATGTTTTGTTGTTTCAACTACTTAAATGCAACTCTAATGTCAATTCTAAAATCTCTTCTTTGATTTGTTTATTGGAGAATGCTCATGCATTTTGAAGTTAATTTGATGATGATAATCAAAATCCATAATAATAAAAAAAAAAATGTCCACTCTTTTAAACATTTTATGTTTACCCTTACTTTACTTCGTTTTCGTTCTCTCGTCTATCTTATTTTCAGAGTTGTTTATCTGTAGACTATAGGAACTATTTAAATTTAAACTGTAGTACAATTTTTCAACTGATTGATATGTCAGTGATTTGAAAAGCTACCCAAAGCAATTGATCAAATTGATCAGAAGTTGCTCAAAGTGTTTTGAATTACTTTCTTTTATAATACTTAAACAAAATAGAATATCGAATTTTACTTAAATACTTGAAATACTCAAGTGCTCCTTAATTTGCGTATCAATTTTCTCAATATATTATTTATATGCATATGTGCCAAGTATTTGTGAAAAATCACGTTGGAAATCAGAAATTTAAGAAATTTTGTTTTTGTATTTTCAAAATCTTCAATTGCATTTTCAAAATAACCCTGAATTAAAAAATTAAGAAATCTAAAATTTACAACTTTTTTCTGAATAATAATATTTTTTTTTCTAAACTTGACAACTTGGGTAAAAGTTTATATACACAAACATAAAATATACATGTATTGTAGTAAGAATAAAAAGATATATGTATATAATAAATAGACATACCACATAATGAACTAGAGATAAAGTGCAATACGACGAGTGTTTTAAATGAATGGAGTGAAATTATCGATGGAAGCTTCAATCAAAATGTTGATTGCAACAAGAGAAAAACAAAAACCCAAAGTATTATTGTAGTTTGTTACTTATTGCTTTAGCTATACGAAGGTTTCAGCTAGCCCTTCTCAAATTAATTTTTCTGATATTTTTTTCTTATATACAATATATATTTTCATTTTGTTGCTTGTTTTATTTTCGTTTTTTCGTATAATGAGATTGATAGTGTATGAAGAGGCTTAAAATTGAAGCATGTCGTCTTAATGAAATAACAGCAAAATATAAAATTTCGAATAAGTTTGAATATACTGGACATTTTCAATGAAAATTGAAAATTGGTATTACTTTGAATTTTATGCCATCTCTTATACTAAATTATTGTTAATTTGTGTTTCTATGACTACCTAGTGGCATACAGGAAGTTGCTGTGCAGATACAGGGCTGTAACTAGAAATGAACCCCTTCTAATTCCTTTATCAGTTCAGTCGGAGCTGTATGTGATTTGATTTCACAGAAAGTATCCAAATCAACCCGCCGCATACTATAGCCCATTTCATATGATGAAATTAAATCGTAACTAAAGTTCATGTGATACTACGCTCGAAATTTCTACTTGCTTCATACTTTGGCTCTACATGACTACGACTTTTGATTCCCATCTTTGATTTTTTCTTGTTCTTATGAATGTATTTGTATAAATTGTCTTCCTTATTTCATAGAAGTAAAGAAGAGCATAAAATTTATTCGTTTCTCCCTCACTTTCAATCAATTTTTATTTTACTTTTTTCTTTTATTCTTTTTAATTCTCTTTGCTTGTCGAATTTTTGTTAATAGCCTTATTCGATTTTTCTTTGTCTTTTTTTTTCTTTTTGTTTTCTGATAACTTATAATATTATTTTTTAGGATTTTTTTTTGGGCTCTTATACCTTCCTACAAGAAATCACAAACTAACAAATAAAAAATGTATAAAAGTAACATGGTGCAATCATGTCTTCTACCTGAAGGTAAAAATGTTTCTGTTAATTTTTTATTGATTTTTTTTTGTTGTTGTTGCGTTTATATTATTGTGTATTATGTCCAAAAAGGGACACAATAACCGTCGTATTGGGCTAAGTAAGCAAAATAAAAAATAATGCTTAGAAGTTAAAAAAATACATGAAATCAGACAAACGTAAGAGCATTGAATTAATAAGTAATGGTTTAATCAATATTATGTATGTATGTGATTGTCAAGTTGTTCAGTTCAACTGTGGGGTCGAAACTTTGTAAACATTACAGTGATTTAAGAATATGTGGTTTTGTGGTTTACAGAATTAGGTATATATATATATTTAGCAAACCATATATTGCAAACTATTATTCCCTAATTCCTTAATTCACTCATATTATGTTGATTTTAAAATTGAATTGTAAAATGTAAATTATTTATTGTTGAAAATATAAAAAGTTTTGTTGAAAATAATTTTTATAAAAAGAAAATCTAAATTAATTCCAGTCTAATAGAATTTGTTTCGGGTTTGTAGATGGCGAAGTTTATAAACAAATAAAAACCAGTTGAGTACAATTTCTATTAAAATTAAAGAAAAAGACCGAATTTCTGGCAACTTACAATTAGCTGTTGATATATAACCAAATGATAAAATCTACATGGACGTATGGCTTGTAGCTATGGGGTTGTGCGAAGCAGACATTCATCAAAGGAATAAGTTCCTTCGTAATATAATGGATGTTCCTTGGTATGTGCGCAATAGTGACATGGCGATCTGGGTGTCCCCCAAGTAAGTAAGGAAATAAAGATATGTGCCATGAAACATAATGTGCGTTTGGAACAGCTTGTAAATGTCCAAGCTTCTCGACTTATAAGGGAGAGAGTTTAGGCAAAAAGACTGAAGCGAAGGAGATCCCTCGATTTAGCCTAGAGTGCTTTGATACAAAAACATGGTAGAGTAAAACTAATGGTTATAGTCATTTTGATTAGTTTTTGGAGTTTATGACCATCCAGGTGCATTTTAGGTTAAGATAAAGTCACCCACTATTGCGATAGGTCTGATCACATATTGAGTTCACCTCTCTTTGTCTTTAAATGATTTTTAACACCTGAATTAGAAAAAACACTGTTCAAATTCCATCTTATTATTTAAAGTAATGTAGTTCTATAAAAAATAAATTAATTGAAAATTAGTTGAAATTTAAAATTTGAATTAGTATATAAAATTTTACATTCAGTATACCACGATTAAAAAAATTGTCAAGGTTTATATTGCCATTATTATTAATTAAACAAGTAAAAACGTTTCAGTCGGTATAAACCGATTGAATTATACCCTGCACCTTTCGTTATTGTGTAGCAATTACTTGAACCTCTAAAATCATTCTATAGAAACTTCACGGACATGTCTGACCTATAATTGGACATCCGACTGCCAAGTTTCATGAATCTGACCTTATAATTTTTCCAAATGTTTAAAATTAGCTTTTGGAGTTGTATGGTAAGTACCTGAACCTGCCAAGCAATTCCACCAAAACTTCACAAATATATCTGATCTATAACCGGACACACAACTGCCAAGTTTCATGAATCTGACTTAATAATTTTTTAAATATTAAGAATAAGCTTTTAGACTTGTATGGGATCTACTCGAATCTGTTAAGCAATTCCACCAAAACTTCAGAAATATATGTGATCTATTACTCAACATACAACTGCTAAGTTTCATGAATCTGACTTTATTATTTTTCCAAATATGTAAAATAAGCTTTTGGAGTTGTATGGCAAGTACCTGAACCTGTCAAGCAATTCCATCAAAACTTCACAAATATATCTGATCTATAATCGGACACACAACTGCCAAGTTTCATGAATCTGACTTTATTATTTTTCCAAATATTAAGAATAAGCTTTTAGACTTGCATGGGAGCTACTCGAACCTGTCAAGCAATCGCACCAAAACTTTAGAAATATGTCGGACCTATAATTGGACACACGACTGCCAAGTCTCATGAATTTGACTTTATTATTTTTCCAAATATTTAAAATAAGCTTTTAGACTTGTATGGGAGCTACTCGAACCTGTCGAGCAATTCCACCAAAACTTCAGAAATATATTTGAGCCATAATTGGACACATGATTGCCAAGTTTCATGAATCTGACTTTATTATTTTTCCAAATATTTAAAATTAGCTTCTGGAGTTGTATGGCAGGTACCCGAACCTGTCAAGC